TTACTTTGTGACCTTGAAAAATCTGAAATTGAAATCGTTTTGCGAGAACAAGGTGGAACCTTAGCTGCTATTTCTGCTCAACCAGCACTGATTGAAGAGATTAAAGAGAAACAGCAACTGAATGACTTCTTGAAGAAGATCATCGAAGAAAGGGGAACTAAACCCAGACCGGGTTTTACATTTGAAAGTAATGTACTGAAATTTCAAGAAAGACTGTGTGTACCGAATGATACTGGACTGAAAGGAAAAGTTCTGCAAGAAGGCCACAATTCAAAATTGTCTATCCATCCAGGGAATACAAAATGTACCAAGATTTGAAACTAAATTTCTGGTGGCCGGGAATGAAGAAAGAAATTGCTGATTTTGTATCGAAATGACTTCATTGCCAACAAGTTAAAGCCGAACATCAACGACCCGCAGGCTTATTGCAGTCCTTACCCATACCGGAGTGGAAGTGGGAACATATCACCATGAATTTTATTGTGGGATTGCCTTGCTCCAGTAAAGGTATGGACTCAATTTGGGTTATTGTTGATAGACTAACTAAATCAGCTCACTTCTTACCTATTAAGACAATTTATAATGCGGACAAATTGGCTATACTCTATATTGATGAGATTGTTAGACTGCATAGAGTGCCTGTGTCCATTGTTTCTGATAGGGATTCGAAGTCTACATCAAGATTTTGGCAAAGCTTACAGACTGCATTGGGTACTGAATTGAGACTGAGTAGTGCTTATCATCCTCAGACAGATGGCCAGTCAGAAAGGACCATCCAGACTCTGGAGGATTTACTGAGAATGTGTGTCCTTGATTTTCAGGGAAACTGGAAAAGCCATTTGCCTTTAGCTGAATTCGCCTATAATAACAGTTTTCATTCGAGCATTGGTATGGCGCCTTTTGAGGCATTGTATGGCAGAAAATGTAGATCTCCGATTTGCTGGGCAGAAGTTGGAGATGGGCCTTTGCTTGGGCCCGAGATTGTATATAAAACGACTGAGAAAGTGAAACTGATACAACAGAGACTGAAAACTGCACAGAGCAGACAGAAAAGTTATGCAGATGTCAGAAGACGGGACAAAGAATATGAAATAGATGATTACGTGTTTGTGAAAGTGACACCGATGAAAGGCCAGAATCATTTTGGAGTCAAAGGCAAGTTAACACCAAGATATGTAAGACCGTATGAGATTATTGAGAAAATCAATCCGGTGGCATATCAAGTTGCGCTTCCTCCTGAAATGGAGCATATGCACAACGTCTTCCACATTTCTATGTTGAGGGATTACCTCTGGGATCCTTTCCATGTGATAGAACCTACGTGTAGTGCTGAGTGATGACTACACTTACGAGGAACGGCCTATTCAGATTGTAAACAGACGGATCAAGAAGTTGAGAAACAAAGAGATCCCGTTAGTGAAAGTTGATTGGCAAAACCATGGTGGCGTGTATGCCACTTGGGAAAGGGAAGATGACATGACTAAAAGATATCCTGAACTATTTCCACTGAATCCTGTTTTTTTCCAAAATGAAGGTAATTCGAGTTTAGAGGACTGAACTCTTTTTAAAGAGGGGAGACTGTAACAACCCTCACCACTGTTTACCGATAAACTACCGATTACTGCTAAAATGAGACTGATTATGTTTGGTAATTGAACTGATTGAAATACTAAACTGACTAACTGAAATCCAAAACTGAATCGATTGACTGTATCTGTTTAATTGCATGTTTATCTGTTTGACTGTTTAATTATCTGTTCAATTTTTATGTTTAAACTGTTAATTGAAGGCCTTATCGGCGGCCGAATCCGAAATCGATTGATGTTCTATGATCGTTAGAATTAATGTGAAATTATGGCATATTTATCTGAAAACTGAATTGGTATGATTAAATTAGATTAAAATGGGTTAAATTGCATTGTTGACTTAATTACTATTTTGCCATTGTGAGTGGCCACTATCTAAAACCACCTTTGAGCCTCATTACACTTAGATCAAACATTTGCTCAACTCATTTCCCTTGTTCTTGCCGACCAAGAGAGTTAGAGTAAGAGAAAGTGAGTTCCTCCTTGATAATTGCTTGTAGACTTGGAGATTTTTAGAAGATAATTGTGAATTTGAGCTCCCACACCTTATAATTTAGACTTAGGTAAGAGAATTCAACCTCTCATTGTTGTGTTTAAGTTTGTTCTTGCATGGTTTTGAGTAAAGTTAAAGTCTAGAGCCAACATATGGCTCAAATTGTTGAATTAGAGCTCAATTATTGCATGCATGTGCATATTGATAAGTTTTGAGGTTGTAATTCATCATTCCTCACCTGCATGTCTATATTTTGAGAGTAGACCATGAATTCATCATGTTTTTGTAAGAGTTAGCTCATTTGAGCTTTGTATTTAAAGCTTGAAAGTGGTTTAAATTCATGCATGTTGCATTGAAGTTAAGTTTATGAAAATTGGTTTGAATTTGAGTTGAATTGATCTTCCCTTGGGCTTTGATTTTACAAATTGAGCTTTGAACCATGTTATACTATGTATTTGCAAATGTTTTCCAGGAAATGAGCCCAAGAGGATTGAATTTAATGCTTTGTAAGTTGAATTTGAGCTTGAGGTTCAAATTTGGGAATTCCAGATTTTGAACTCATGCTCGAGCGGGGTGACTGGCGCTCGAGCGTGAAATTCGTGCTCTTAGTAGTTTTTGCACTGCTTTGGTGTCCGCTCGAGCAGGGTAATTGACGCTCGAGCGTGACCTTGTGTTTTACGCTAGAGCGGGTGTCGAGCGCCCAATCGAGCGTGAATTTCACCTATCCAGCACTTTTGACTGTTTTGAGGTACGCTCGAGCGGTTGAGTATGCGCTCGAGCAGAAACCTTTGTCTGCATGTCCGCTCGAGCAGATTAACCTACGCTCGAGCGGGACCCCTGTTTTCTGAAAATTCTGAAAATGCTTTTAAAGTGCATCTTTGCATCTTCATTTCATCCTAGGCATTCTTAGGCCTAGTTTAAGGCATCTTAATAAGGATATAGATGTAGAACCACACCGAGGTAAATTAGGGATTAAGTTATTATTTTCCCAACTGTGTAGCTTAGTGTGTGTTTAATCTGTAAACTGTGTAGGGTTGGCGACTAGAGACGCACTCTAGCCTAACTATAGCCCAGAACTCTGTGAGTAACAACTGTGTAAAGATATGTTCAAAATGATTATCTTCTGAACAATTGAACTGTACTGCTTTCTGAACTGATATTGTTAATTGAATGAATGTATGTCCTATATTCTGAACTGTATTGTGGCATCCTTAGCAGCTACTGTTTACTGTTACTGTTATAGAGATCTCTGTCGGTTCCCTTGTTGGAACCACTACTGTTTACTGATTGATGGCCATTATTTACTGTTCGGTCTTTTAAGACCTACTATTTACTATACTGTTATGCTAATGGATGTACCACATATGACTGAATGATTGATGTACTGAATTAACGAACTGTTTTCATTACTGCAAGGACATTCATTCTTAACCTCTTTACGCATTACGTTATTCATTGGGCTTTAGCTCACTGCATATATATATATATATATATATATATATATGTAGGTGTACAGGCACCAGACCGCAGCTATAAGCATTGGGGTAAACTCCAGTTTTGTCAAGCCAACCTATGTGCCTCACTGCGTGGTTTCGAGCCTATCAAGCTAAGGCTATGGGGTGTTTTAGTTTTCCCCCTTCTGCTATGTTTTGTAAACTGTATACTGTTACCGTACTATTTAATAGGGATTAGGTCCCTGAACTGAATGATTGTATATATGTACATACTATTTTGTCACTGACTGCATATATGTATGAAAAAGTCTTTTGCATACAGACTGTCACAGCTCATTGGACATTGTTTATTTACTGTTTTGGCTTCCGCCATGCCCCTGTACTCTGTTTTACTGTATTACTGTTAAGCAGGCCTTCGGTAATCTTGGATTACTGGCCGGTTACGGTGCCAAACCCATAGGGGCGAGTTTGGGTCATGACACTTGCTATAACCTCTGGTTTTTTGCAAAATGATGATTGATCATATTGAAAAGCCGGATTCAACCAATAAGCCGTAGCATAGATATTTTTGCGTAATGTCCTATCCCAACGATCTTTGATAATACTTGTATAAGGCTTGTACAATCTTTTTTTCTTCATGAAAACATTTTTAATTGCTATTTTTGCCCTATACATGCCCTAATATACGTATCCCATTGAAGGTTTTTTATCTCCATCAACAATACGCAACAATCTCATGAGTGGCTCAACAATCTTAACAATGATCAAGCATTCATTTGAAAACTTACTGTCTAAAATGATAGCAACAACTTCTTTTGCTTTCTTGTCTTTTGCATGCCTTGAATCGACAAAATCCTTACTTGTTACTAAGGCTTTCAAATCATGCATATATTTTTGAATACTATGTAATGCAATGAAAGTAGTGGCAAAACGGGTTGCTCCTGGGCGCACAATTTCAGTCCATCCCTTCATTTTCCTCAACCAAGCTATCAACCATGGGTGATTGTACATAAATCTTGTCACACTTGATGCTCTAGAGGCAAGCTCTTTCATATGATTCAACTTGGAAATATCACTTAACACTAAGTTCAAATAATGTGCTACACAAGGACAGCAATTAATATTCTTGAAAGTTTGACTAACAAGTCTTCCAGCAGCAACATAATTTGCCCCATTATCTGTCACCATGTGTACAATATTGCTCACTCCCACCCACTTAATAATTTCTTCAAACAATTTAAAAAAAAGAGGAGCATCTTTTACAACATCAGAGGCATCAATGGATTTAACAAAAGTGATTGCTCTAGGACAACAGACAAGAAAATTAATGAGAGTTCTATGTCTACCATCAGCCCAACCATCACCCATAATTGTACACCCAGTATCAGCCCAAGTACTCTTTATAGAGTCAATAAACAATTGAAGCTCTTTCTTTGAGTCATTCAATAACGGAACTCGAACTTCATGGTAGGTAAGAACTTTATATCCTGGACCAATGGCGATTGCAGCATCAAACATGGGATTGCAACATCAAACATGGGCTGAAAGTATATGGAATTGACAACATTCATTGGAACATATGTATCATACAAAAATTTTGCCACAATTATATGTGCCCTATGTACAGCTTCTTTAGTAGCAAGGGCACTTTTGATAGTTGGTTGAGAGCCCGGAGTGGTCCTTGGTGCAAAAAAATTATCAAATTTTGTAGATTCCTTTCCTTTTCCTCTTTGTGTCATTGTTGCTTTACTTTTATTCCTACTACCACCACCTTCATTAATTAAGTTGCCCTTATTGCGTTGTGGAATTATTTCTTCAATTTCAGCATCATCCTCAAATTCGAAAACAGTCCGACCAAAGGGATTAGATTCCTCACTTCGTTTATTTTTCTCAATAATTGCTTTCAAAGTCTCTTCCATTCGATACCTAACATCACCTGGAACTTTCTTACATGGCCCAACTTCACCAAACTTTCTTGCAAGATGTTGCTTCATTCTATTAATCCCTCCACCTTTGATAGTTTTCCCACAATACAAACATGTTAAAGTTTTCTTCCCATCGAGAGCTCGCCCCCTAGTTACATGGTCCCATGCTGGATCATATTTACCTCTTGTTGATGATGGGGCATTAGAGTGTGCTGTTGAATTATGGTCAGATGAATCCATTTCGCCTAAAACAACACTATATAATACGTTTACAAATATTTGAAATCATAAATTTATTACAAAAAATTGCATGAAATCAAAATTTTATTATCATGTATGTAACAGCTATGAAAACAAAAAACAAAAACTTGGAATTGTATAATTAAGTCAAGAATCACATAAACCAATTACAGAAGTCATTTCCAATATTATTCAATTGTTTGTAACAAGATAGCACTCAAATGTGAAACATTTTTTTTTTGTTTTTTTTTTTTCTGTTCTAACATTTCCAATATTGGCTCTGTTCTAACATTTGAAACATTTCCAATATTATTCATCAGAATAATGGGGCCCAATATTGGCTTTGTAACATTTCCAAAAAATTAGTCTAGTAGATTCACTAGCTTTGTAACATTTCCAATATTCTGATCTAACAATTTGTTTTGCCCCATTACAGGGACTCATCTAAGAAGCCTAACCAGAATCAATAAGGCAGAGCCAAATCTGCTGAAGAATTGAAGCATAATTATTATTATTATTTTTTTTGTTTCACCTGCAATTGAGCCCACGGTGGTGGCCTCATTATTGACAAGGAAGGAATAAATCAACAACCAGTGGCTCAAAATTTTTTTTTCTGTTCATAATTTTTTTTTGTTTCAACTGCATTTTTGTTTTTTGTTTCAATTGCAATCTAAGCATTGCTATGAGAACTTAAACAAACAAAATTTCATCATAAAATTTATATATATTCGTAATGAAAAGCCAAGATAAATACCCTTAAAATAAAATTTCATCATAAACAAACAAAGAAGAATATAAAGCTCTACATCTACTCACACCAAAAAAAATAAATAAATAAATAAAAAAAGAGAAAAAACCAGCAAGCAAGAGAAGCAAAAAAAGGCAAAGAGGAAGAGAAATTGGAGAGAAATAGAGACCAGCCACCACAGTAGAAGAGGAAGAGAAGGGGAAGAGAAAGAGAAAGAGAAGCAGCAGAGGTCGTCGAAGTACTCACCGGATTTGTGTCCTCCGTTCACCAACAATCTGCAGAGAGGCCAAAACCATCGACACCCTTTTGAGTTGAGAGAGAGAGAGATGAGCTGAATTTGTTTGGAGCCCTAGAAATTGGATTTTTTTAGTGCTATTTATAAGTGCAACAAACCAGGACGGTTCCTCATAACTCGATCGGTTTTATCAAACCAGGCGGGCCATCTGGTTTTATCAATTAAGAACGGTTTTAGGCCTGCTCCGGGTTTACAGGATTTGTTGGACTGAGACCAAGCTCGGGTCCCGGTTCAACCAGTTCGACCGGCCGGTCCGGTCTAGGTTTGTTAATATTGCCCACTAGACTTAAAGGTAAATTCTATAGAACGACTATTAGATCAGCGATATTGTATGGAATGGAGTGTTGGACAACAAAGAAACAACATGTAGATAAGATGAGTGTGGGCGAGATGATAATGCTAAGGTGGATGTGTGGTAAGACTAGACAAGACAGGACAAAATTAGGAATTAGTTTATTCGGGAATGGGTAGGAGTAGTACCGATATAAGATAAGTTGAGAGAGAATCGATTGAGATGGTTTGGTCATATTCAACGGAGACTAATACAGGCAGTAGTGAAGAGATGTGATGCTGTAAAGGTAGATGGAAGTGTTAGGGGATGAGGTAGGCCTATATTAACGTTGGTTAGCGTTGTAAATAGAGATATGGATCTACTTAATTTGACTAACGAAATGGCCTTTGATAAGGCCGCATGGAGAAAAAAGATTCATGTAGCCGACTCCATTTGATGATACTTAAGGCTTGGTTTGGTTTGATTTGTTACATATGTCGCTAAAAATTGATAATTAGTGACTTTTTTTGTCACGATTTTTATAAATTGGTGCTAAAACTTACAATTAGTGACCTTTTTTTGTGACGAATTTTTTAAACTATCATTGAAAGTTAAAAATGAGTATTTTTTTTTGTAATGATTTTTTTTTTAAATTGTAGCTAAAATTTATAATTTGTGACATTTTTTGTGACAAATTTTTTAAACTGTCGCTGAAAATGAATAATTAGTGACATTATTTTAATAGTGTATGATGAAAAATATCACTAATTATCATAAAATCTATTAAATAATAAATCTACTTAGTAGATCCTACACATAAATCTCTCTACTTTTAATTTGAGATATGAACTTGATATAAATATTATCTATACTATAATAAAAGATTTATTGAAAAAGATTCTTACTAGTTTAATGATATATAATATATAATATATATTTTATTTTATTAATTGAATAAAAAGAAACGTTATATAACAACAGTGATTTAGATCGCTAAAATAGCATCATTAATGTCAGTTCTAATGAGCTGGACAATAAAAAAAAAAAAAGAAGAAGCAAAACATCACATCAAAAAGTGGGTCTCACAAATTAATACTCTCTTAAGAGCATTTTCAACGGTGAACTAAAATTTTTACCAAATTTGAGTAAGAAAAAGTCAATTTTCTCAATCTGATATGGTTTGCTCCAACTGTGCATCAAAAGGGAAGGGTCAACCGGTAAGTGTAATTTTTTTTTTTATAATCTTTTTGAACCTTGTTTTGACCGGTTTAAACAAACCATTTGAAAGGGAACCGGTCGATCGGTGGGTCAACTGACCGGACAATCGGTTGGTTGACCGGTTGGCCTACCCCAACGGTAACGCACAGTAAAATAGTGAAATCTGGAGCCTGTTCTCACTTTGATGAATTTTTTGTTCCATTATCATTTTGATACCACTTTGGTGAAACCATCGGAGCTTCAAAAAGTGACTTTTTTATCAAAATTTAAATTTAATGCAAAATTTGATGAACCGTTGGAGATGATCTAATACACTTAAATTAGTGATTTTAAACATTTTTTCATTATCTAATTGATTTTTCACTTTGCCGAAAAAACATGCAGTCGTGGCACTAGTGGTGGCACAGTTACATTACAACCACCACGGCAATGGGGACAGTGGTGGGGCAGGGGCAAAATGGGAAACTTGAGGCTTAGGGTTAGAGAGCAGTTTGGTCTCCGAACATTGCGCAGGAATTCATGTGCCGCATCGTCAGCGCACGGTAGAAACACCCCCTTCAATAATTACTATCACCGCACACCACACGAATCATACAAAAATTCGTCACTTCTCTTCAAAATATCACGAGATGTTCCTTAGAACTGATTGATTACCGAAACGGTTCACTCTCCAACACAGCTGGCAATCGTACTCTTCCTATTTTATAATACAAGAAGGTTGCGATATCAAATTTTTTAGGGTAAGGTCAAGTTTGGCAATATCAAAATAATTTATTTTTTTATTTTTTTATCTTTTTTTTATTATATTATTTTTTTATTTTTTTATACATCTTTGCATAAAAAGATAAAAAATACACTTATTTAGGTTATTCCAAACAACCCCTTACATTCACATGCATAGAAGTCAGTAAAAAGTCAATTTTTAATTTTTTATTAATTTTGAGTGATATCATTTCTCACATAAATTACTTATAAAAAGATAAAATAAGTTAAAAAAATTAAAAAGTCAACTTTTTACCAACTTTTTAAAACACCCCATAGTAAATAAATATAAGGTAAACTACACTGACACCCTCTGAGATTTATGTTTATTTCAGCTTCCCCTCTCACCTTTTCAAAATTACATCATCCCCCTGAGGTTTAAAGTTTCATTACAGATTTCCCTTTTCAGTAATTTAATTTTTTTAAATACCAATTTTTCCCTCATTGGATAAATTACATTGACACCCCTCATATTTTAGAAATTACAATCTCCTCCCTAAGGTTTAAAAGTAGCATTACCAATTGCCCCCTTGATTAGTATTAGTTGAAAAAAAAATCATTGAAAAAAAAATTAATTGAAAAAAACAATTATTTGAAAAAAAAAATTGTTAGTAAAGTTTTTAAATTTCTATTTAAAAACTAACGTAAGCTCGTTTTTTGAATTTACGTTTTTTCCTTAAATTTACAGACTGAGACAACTATTTATAAACCAAAAAAATTATCAAACAAATTTTTATGACAGTTTTTAAAAAAAATTGTAAATATAAATTGAAAACTAAAAACGAAATGGTTACCAAACAGGCTTGATGGTAAAAATGTTGTTAAATTAACAAATAATTAAATAAGTTACCAACGTAAAAAATGACTTATCAAAAGATTTATATATATATATTTTTAAATTTAGAAATT